GTCTAATTGTTATGGTGTGCAGTGCCCTATAGCAGTGGTCCCCAACCCCCGGTCCGCGGACCGGTGCCGGGCCGTGGAGTACCTGGCACCGGGCCGCGCAGCGGCCAGGGGACATGAACGCTGCAGCGCAAAGGCTCCTGGGCCATGCGCAATGGGCCGTGCGCAAAAGCTCCTGGGCTGTGCCCCCACCCCTGCGCGCGCTCAGCGGGCCGCAGCGATAAAAAGGTTGGGGACCACTGCCCTATAGCATCGTTTTGAGGGTAGAAATTGAAACAATTTATGTCCAGGATGCGAGGGGTCTGTAGATATTTACACAGCCCTCTTTTTGACTCGTGCAGTATACAGGTCCTCAATGGAAGGCAGGTTGGTAGCAATTGTTTTTTTCTGCAGTTCTAATTATCCATTGAAGTCTGTGTCTGTCTTGTTTGGTTGCAGAGCCAAACATGCTATCAATGCTTAAATGCTTAGAAGTTCTACTTAATACATATAGAAAATTTTACTAGTTTTATTGTTTAGTCTAGGAATGAAATTAATATTGAAAGATATGTTTCTGCTAAAACTAAAACTCAGGTGAGTTGTCTATTGAAAACAATTTTTTTAAAAAATAAAGAGAACCGTGGAATGCATTAGTGTCATAAGACTGTTGTGACTGCATTAGTATCATAAGACTATTATGACTCATTTCTCAAGTACCATGAAAAAGAAGCAGTGGAAAATAATCTAACAGAAAATAATCTTTTCACCACTCTGACTGTAGAACATTTTGTTAGAATAGCCAGTTAGTAAAACATTGCAGTTAGTGCAAGTTAGGTGTCAAACCAATTAAATTTAACACAGCTCACTCTTTCCTTGAATATCCTATGGAAATGAGTATTAAAAAAACCTTTCTTTTTATGACCTTGTAATTCCTTAATTCGGGGCAGAGTTGGAGCATCTCGATGGAATTGAAGGTTTACTGGATGGCAGAGTATAATTAGTAAAAATAAATAAATTCTGTTTTTTTAGTACTATAGATGTTTTAGAACATAGAATAATAGAGTTGGAAGGGACCTTGGGGGGCTTCTAGTCCAACCCCCTGCTCAAACAGAACATCCTATATTATTTCAGGAAAATTATTGTCCACTCTCTTTTTGAAAGCTTTCAGTGATGGAGCATCTTATCTGAAGATAAGCTGTTCCACTGATAGATTGCTTTCACCATTAGGAAATTTCTCCTTAGTTTTAGGTTGTTTTTCTCCTTAGTTAGTTTCCAACCATTGTTTCTCATCTTGTCTGCTATCATGTCACCCCTAGTCCTTTTTTTCAATAGACTAGACATACCCAATTCCTGTAACCGTTTTTCATATGTTTTAGCCTCCAGCTCCTTAATCATTCTAGTTTCCGTTCTATGCACTCTTTCCAGAGTCTCTACATCTTTTTTATATTGTGGTTATCAAAACTGGATGCACTATTCCAAGTGTGGTCTTATTAAGACTTTGTAAAAGTGGTACTAGAACTTCACGTGATCCTGATTCTATCAGCTTTTTTTGCTGCTTCTGCACATTGTTTGCCATATTTAAGTGATTCACTTATCCTGTGCCTATACAGTTGGTTTTTCTTGCCTAAGTGTAACACCTTACTTTTATCTATGTTAAATTTCATTTTGCTAGATAGTGCCCAGTGTTCAAGTCTGTCAAGATTTTTCTGTCTTCTGGTGTGTTAGGTATTCCTCCCAGCTTAGTGTCATCTGCAAAATTGATGAGTTCCCCTTTTATTCCTCATTTATATAGTTTATGAAGATATTGAAGAGTATTGGGCCCAAAATGGAATCTTGGGGTACCCCGTTGCTTACTTTCCTCCATGTAGATGTAGTTACATTGAGGACTACATATTGAGTACGATTTGTCAGCCAGTTGGTGGTAGTGTTGTCTATTTCACATTTTTCTAGCTTGCCGAGAAGTAGGTTGTGGTCTACTTTATCAAATGCTTTACTGAAATCTAAGTATACCATGTCCACAACATTTCACTGATCCACTGATTTAGTCTCTTGGTCAAAGAATGAAATCAGTTTCATTTGGCATGATCTGTTTTTCACGAACCCATATTGGCTACTGGTTATAACTTTGTTTACTTGTAGGTATTCGCAGATTTGTTACTTGGTTGTCTTTTCCAAGATCTTCCCAGGTATTGATGTCAGATTGATTGGTCTGTAATTTCCTGGATTTGTTTCAAGAACTTTGAACGATATGTTTCAATAGTTCTGAAATCACATCTATCCGTTTCTCCAGAACTCTGGGATGTAATCCATCAGGACCCGATGATTTGAATCAATGTAGAGATAACAGGTGTTCTCTTGCCTTATTTTTGCATATTTTAATTTGCATTCCTAACCTGTCATTTACAGTTCTGCTTTTCGTGAATTGAGTATTGTTTTCTTTTTGCATGAAGACAGATGCAAAGTATGAATTAAGCAGTTCTGTTTTCTTTCTACTGTCTGTTACTTCTTTGTCATCTTCTCCAATTAGTGGACCAATCTTTGACTTTTGCCTTGTTCTTTTTTATTTTGGTGAAAGAAACTGTTTTTATTGTTTTAACATTTGTTGCAAGTCTTACTTTGTTCAAAGCCTTAGCTTTATTGAATTCTAATATGATATGGTCACTTTCCCCTAAAATTCCTGCAAATTCAATTCCCTCTATCACTTCTTTGCTGTTGGTAAGAATAAGGTCCAGTATAGCTGCCCCATAGTTGCCCTCTCAATCTTTTGGGTGATGAAGTTGTCAGCTAGGTGAGTCACGAATCTGTTCGATTTCCCACTTGTTGCAGAGTGTCTCCCAGTTGATGTCAGGGTAGTTAAAGTCCCCCATTACTATTGTGGTGTGTTTCCTTCATACATTGGTTAACTACACTGATTTTAAAAGAAATAATCGTAATTTATGATAAAAATACCACTACTAATACATTTAAATAAGTAAGTAAACAAACAAACAAACAAACAAATAAGCAAATTCCTTGAATTGCCTGTTTATTATACCTTTCAGATTTCAGGCAAATAAACAGATTCTTTGTTCATATTACAGATAAACAAAATGCTTTTTTTTCTGGCACAATAGAAAATATAATATAAACTGCAACTATACATCAAAGAGAAAATAAAAGCTTTTATGTCATTTTTTGGAAGAACTGAGTAACTGAGATAGGGGATTGGCAATAACATATGGCATAATTGGGTCAGCTTTCTGGCAGATGAAATAGCTAATATATGGAGAAGGAAAGGGAAACATTTATATTTATGTGTTTTAGTTAAACTTATACCTTTTTACATTCCCTGAGACCTATGTTGCTGAGATACTTATGTTCTTATCTATGCAAATTAATTCAAAAGCAACTAGAATAGTGAAATATTTTAAATTCCTTGACAGAAAAAGAAAGAAAAATAGTATTACAACTGATCAAAAAACCTTTTATCACATTTTTTGGAAATGTTGCCTAAGATATGTTGAGAGACAGATTGTTTGTGGAGTTGTTACTATTTCAAAACATGGTAGTAAATAAGGACTTTATATGAGATAAAATATATGTTAGGTAACTGTTATAGAAATAGTAGTAAATATTTATAAGATTGGCAATTAGCAGAAAAATAAAAAAGGAATTACTCATTTTGAGTCCATAAACTATGGTCAAAACTTAATAAAAGCTATGAAATACAGAGAGATACTTTAGCTGTATAAAAATGTACTTAACCATAATTTATAGACATTTAATAATCAGGATGCCATTTAATAACTAGGGCATACATGAATTATTTTTTTAAAAAAATGTAACATCAAAATGAAATTGCATTGAGATATTTATAAAAATACTTGTTTTTGCAGGGAATGTAAAAATTCTTCAAATACAGGTAGTCCTCAGCTTACAACCACAATGGAGCCACAATTTTCTGTTGCTAAGCAAGACAGCTGTTAAGTGAATTGTGAATTATGTGAAAAGGTTGGGGACTGTCATAGGATACACTTTGGTGTAATGATTAAGGCATCAAGTTAGAAACTGGGAAACCAAGAATTCTACTCCCACTTTGAGCACAAAGCCAACTGGTCACCTTGGACTATCACTTTATTATTTTTATTCCATTTTATCTTATTGATTACTAGTATGATCTGAAGCATAACAATTAAGACCCTGACTATCTTGATTCCATCTACAGCTCTGTTTTCAGGCACAAAATAATGGCTTGTATTTTTGTTGATTAGCTTTCAGCGTTCTGAATTGGTATTTGAATATATTTTATATAGCTATAACTATCTTTATATCTATCTGTCTGTCTGTCTGTTTGTCTTCTGTCTGTCTGTCTGTCTGTCTGTCTACCTATCATCTTTAAAATAGTGCATTTGAATTTTGTTTTAAATTAAACTTTTTGCTATCAGTTTAGGTACTTTTACTAGAAAACTAAATAATTGTTTTTCTATGGAGATTCTCATCCAGGTTTCCAGAAAGTCCAGTTGCCTCTTGGGGAAAAAAAGCACCTTTGGGATAAATAATTGTTTAAGAACAATACAATAGAAGCAATTTCCTGTTCTAGACATAAATTATTATTATTATTATATTGATTCTTTTTTTTATTGTGGTATACCCTAAGGTATCAAGGCAGCTTTCATGGATGGATGGATGGATGGATGGATGGATGGATGGATGGATGGATGATAAATAGAGAGATAGCTATAGCTATATAAAATACTGTATATTCAAACAGACAGACAGACAGACCAAGCAAACTTACGGAGTTAAATTGGAGGATTTTCTGCTTTTAACAGATGACAGTATTGCTGCTAAGAAAAATCCAAGGGTACATGTCTGAAATCACCAGGAATCAAGCTTGTTTTGAAAAAGGCTGAATCTTTCTAAAGTACTGTAGTCATAATATGTTTGAATTCAATGAAAAATATTAGCCTGAATGTTGCCTAGGCTTTGGAATCATTATCTATGTTACTCCAATTTGTATTCTCATTGTTATTTTCATTTTTCAGGTGTAGCAACCGGACCCAATGTGCAGTGGTTGCTGGCCCAGATGTGTTTCCTGATCCTTGTCCAGGAACTTACAAGTACTTGGAAGTGCAATATGAATGTGTCCCTTACAGTATGTAATATTATTACTATTGTAGTTGCTATTATTGTTAGTGGTTTATTACTGATCTGAATACCAAATTGCTATAATTGTTAGCATTCAATTTTTTTAGGTTATTTCATGCTCACATAAGTGGCTTCTGACAAACTGAGCAATAAAGGTAAAGATTCCCCTTGCACATATGTGCTAGTTGTTCCCGACTCTAGGGAGCAGTGCTCATCTCCATTTCAAAGCCGAAGAGCCAACGCGGTCTGAAGATGTGTCCGTGGTCATGTGGCCGGCATGATTAAACGCCAAAGGCACACGGAACACTATTACCTTCCCACCAATGTGGTCCCTATTTTTCTACTTGCATTTTTTACGTGCTTTCAAACTGCTAGGTTGGCAGAAGCTGGGATAAGTAAAGGGAGCTCACCCCGTTACGTGGCACTAGGGATTCAAACCACTGAACTGCCGACCTTTCTGATCGACAAGCTCAGCGTCTTAGCCACTGAGCCCTAAACTGAGCAATGGTGCATAGTAAAGAAATTGCCTAATGTAGAATTGTGGTTCTCAACAGAAAGCCATCTAGTTCCATTTCCCCATCCCCAATATTTTTATTTATTTCACAATAATTATAGCCTTATGAAAAGTAAATGGAATCTTTAATTATGAAGTAATATACAGGTAGTCCTTGGTTTACGACCGTTTGTATAAAGACAGTCCAAAGTTACTACTCTTACGGCCTGTAATGCACTTCTGAGTGTCACAAAATGTTGCACACACCTTGTTTCAGTCACACGATTGCAACTTGAATGTTTGGCAATTGGCTCACATTTATATGCATTTGCAGTGTCCCACAGTAACCTGATCACAGTTTGCTTTTTTTTTTTATGCTGGTTTCTGACAAAAGCCACCATGGAGGAAAGTTTATTCAAATTAATGACAGCATGTTTTTCTTAATGACCATGTGATTTGCTTAATGACCACAGTGACTCACTTTATGACTATTTGAAAAATGATCATAAAATTTTATCTGGTCACATGGTGATTCAACCTACAACCGCAGTGACTTACAACCAAAATTCCAGTCCTGGTTATAAACTGAGAACTACCTGTATTTCAACATTCCAATTTCTGAAAGAGGACAAGCAAGGAAGATTGTTTCCATATTTTCTTTTGAGATCCACAGATATTTCACTGGTCAATACAGGTAGTCCTAGTTTAGCATCAAAATTGGGATTACACTCTTCCTTCAGCTTTCCTTTGATTTACAGACCTGTGAAGCTCATAAATGTGAGGTCTGGTCACAGAGTTTCTTTTTCATCATTGTCCTTGTTGCTAAAAGAGGCAGTTGCTAAATGTGGACTACCTGTGTTGTAAATTAGTTGAGAGGCAAAAATAAAATGTTGGTCTGTTCCAGGACTCTTTTTCTTATATAAAGAGATGGGAACTTCTGCAGTACTTAGCATGAATTTGTAGTTTAATTATTGCCTGTAGTTTAATTATTGATTAATTATTGTAGTTTAATTATTGCTTAATTATTAACAAAATCTATATTTTTGTTGTGACATGTATGAAAATATCATTTCTGCATTGCTCTTCGGTAATTACTCTTAGAACAATCCTTCCATATCTTCTTTCAGTGTAAAACAATTTCAAAAGTGTTTGAACAACTTTGCATTTACTCCTTCACAATTGTAGGATTTTGATACTTGATAACTGGCTTTCAGCTTATAATGTATTCTTCATCTATCTAATAATATTTGAGAATATTTCTTAAAATGAAATGTTTCTTAAATGGGTAATATCTGAAACATTTTTAGGCTGCAATCTTATACACATCCACCTGCAAATAAGCCCCACTGATTTTATAGATTTTATTTCTAAACAAATAGCAGCTGTGTATAGGATTAACTTGTTAGAAGAACAATGCCATTGCTAGAAGAAAAAGTATTTGAAGATTCTCAGAGTAGAGTCATTTTGGGGGAAAGGAAAGTGTTTGAAGGTTAATTAATGAACGAAGGGAGCAGATCTGAGTTGGAAACTGAATGAATACATATGTAAATTGAGTTGTGGTCATGCCCATTTTACTACTAAAAGAAATTGCATCATTCCCACAATAAACAGTACCCAGTATATATATGGTCAGTCTATCTGTCTATCTCAATTTATACTGAGCCATTTGATCAACAGGGTTTGCAAAGGAGCTAATAAGGCCTTTTAAAATGGTTTAAGTGTTGTTTTACAAAAAGTTCAAATCAACTTAATTCAGTTCAAATACTGGGTAACACACTAAATTGCATCCACTTAAAATGTCCTGTCCAAATAAATTCATCTTTATTAATAAATTCATCTTTATTAATACGATAACCAACATTACACAACATTCAGAGGCAAATATGGGTTCTGATTGATTCAACTACCCAGCCTCATTTTAATTTAATCTGATATTTTGTACAAATCTAAGGTCTTGAGCATCTTTCCTCAAGGCAGAATAGTGGGGAGTTAGATTCTTATTCCGTAGTTTAGGAATAATAAAAGAAAATGTTCTCTTCTGTATATCAACAAACATATTTGTGCTGCGTTGTTCCTCCAAAGGTAAAGCTATATTTAAGAAGATTTCTTTTGCTGAAGTTACTGTAAGAAATTTGTACTAAAATTCTGGTCCTCTGTTGGTTAGACAAGGAATCATCTAGTGCAGTGGTCGGCAAACCACGACTCGCGAGCCACATATGGCTCTTTGGCCCCTTGAGTGTGGCTCTTCCACTCTCGTGATGCCCTGGCCAGCTGTGGCTGAGCTGGGAGCATGCGCACATGCAGAGAGACCCTCCTCAAGCGAGCGCCAAAGCTCAGGAAAGGTGGGCACAGGGTGGGCAGCAGCTTGTTTAAGGAGGGTCTCCCCATGTGTATGCATGCTCCCGGCGCAGCCACACCCAGCTTCGCGCCACATTTGCACGTAAGGCAGCCTTTGCTTCCTGCCGCTTCAGGCTGGAGTTCGCACCTTCCACACTCAGCCGAAGAGCTGCTGGGGGTGGGGGATGAAACAGCAAGGCGATGGCCGGAGCATTAGTGCAGGAAAGAAGCCCCATCCTGTTAAGACCCTCCTAATCGAGCAACCGCTCACTCCGCGGGTGCCTTTGCTGTGCTTTGGTGCTTGTTTGGGGAGGGTCTCCCCACCCATGCACACGCTCCTGGTTCAGCCACAGCCATCCAGGATATCACAAGAGGAGGGGGAGGAGGAGGATGGTCACCCAAAGGGAGGGGGAGAGATACACAGAGAGAGAGATAGGGGGAGAGAGAGAGAGAGACATAGAGACACATACAGAGTGATACATAGAGAGGGGTGAGAGAGGGGAAGAGAGGGAGAGATACAGAGGGAGAGAGACATGGGTGGAGAGAGGGGGAGATAGGAAGAGGGGGAGAGAGACAGAATGGTTTTGTGGCTGGGTAGGCATGGCTGGGGGTGGTCATGTGACTGGGTGAGTGAGTGACATTGAGTTGGCCACGCCCAGCCAGGTTTTGTGGTTCCAGTGTGTTTTTTTTCTGTGGGAAACGGGTCCAAGTGGCTCTTTGAGTGTTTAAGTTTGCCAACCCCTGAACTAGTGCTTTAAAGATTAGAACTAAAATCTTCAACTGTATTGTATATATGAAGCACTGGAGATCAGTATAGGTTTTTCAACTCAATGGTACAAGCTAAAGAGAGAGTCACTTTGGTGACAAACAGATTGGTATCCTAGATCAATTTATGGCCTTGAGTTCCTTGTTTGTTGCCATGGTAACTAAGAATCTATTCCTTTCTTCTTTACACTGCTTGCTGCCAACCCTGAAATAACAACCCCACAAAAATTAAAAAGGCAACCACCACCACCATCCCTCTCAAATACAGTAACCTCCTATTGTTCAGGGTATTTAAATACTGTGATCTTTTCACCTTCAAATGATTGATCATAAATAACTAAAACAATCTGTTCTCTTCTTGAACAACAGAATACTGTATTGGGAAAGATAGGATTTCACTCATTGTCAAGTCTGTTTCTTAAAAAGAAAAAATATTTTTTAATGATTGTTTGCTCTTAAAGAGGCAATTAATTGTCTTTAAAAGTTTCTAGAGAAGTAACTTGCTAGATGCCAACTTTTTCCTTATGTCTACTCTGGCAGTATCATAACAGGATATAACAGCAACTTCCAGAGCATCACAAGATTGTAGAATGACTCATTTTCACACTTGACATAGCCTTCCACAGTCTGTAGTACCCCACAAAACAGCCAGTTTTTGCACATCCAAAAATGTCACAAAACTGTCATGAGAAAGATAAATACCAAAAGCAGTAGATTTGAGGGGATAAATTAAGATCTCCTGCTCAGTGGTTGGTTGCTACCGGTTCACACCGGACTGGGTGAACCGATATGGTGGCGGTGGGAGGCTCCGCCCACCCGCCTGGACATCTCTGTGCATGTGCAGAAGCTTCTGTGCATGTGCAGAAGCTTCTGTGCATGTGCAGAAGCATTGCACGTGCGCCCACGAGCGAACCGGTAGCAGCCTAAATTGAAACCCACTACTGCTCCTGCTAGGCTTCTTCTTCCAAGGGATCCCCAAAACATATTTGTTATGTTGGATTATCAGCAGTCACCCTAAATGCCCTGACAAACCATACACTGTCTGAATAGGGAGATCTTAGGCCTTGTATTGTGGACTTTTATTTTTTATTTTGTTTATCAAATTTAGAAACCACCCATCTCCCTTAAACTGTCCCTTTGACTCAGGAATAGGCAAATTGAAAGAGCTTTGAATCTTGAGAGCTCAGAGACTAGAAATACAGAACGCTAGAAATCTTCAAAGCACTTATCCTATGTGAAACCTGAGCAGTTTGGGAAGTTGCTATGCTTTGATTTGCTGGCTCTTCTATGCAAATAGATGAGGTCTACTTTTTACCTGTTATGCTTTTGTATAAATGGAATCATAAAGCAACATCATTTGGGATAGAAAAAAATTAATTTCTTTACATGAAGATCAATTTATCAGATGCTTT